TCCACCAGTTTCTGCTTCCTCCCACATAAATCCGTCTCACACCGTCATACTGACACTGGAGAAAAAGTATCTCAGAAATCCATCATAAAGCCTTTTTTGGTTCTATGTTGTCAGATGAGATCTCCTCCTAACCCATTTGGAGCCATTTTTATGGCGCTGGGTACATTTTGCCAGGGATGGGTTGGATGAGTCCTGTCAGATGAACACCAGGACTCCACAGTTTCTCAACAGAACTGAATCTGAATGATCTTGTTGCGCGACCATATGTGGTTTTATCTGATTCATTGTGTCTCAGCAGAGAGGAAGGCTGCTATTCTGCTACACAGTTACACCATCTGTTCATATGCTACGGATTGTTTTTCATTGCATTGTTAATTTATCTGCATGACACGAGTCTTTGTCTCCAATAGACTGCAGAGCTTTGGGGACTGCAGCATGTGTTCATTAGATTACAACAGATCAGAGAGTGCATCTGTCTTGTCTGTCTCAAAAACAAAGGACAATGGAGATAAAACTGCAGAAGGAGGCTATTAGTCACTTCTTCAGCCAGCATGGTGCCCTTCCGGGAGAAGAAGGGCAGTCACAAGGCCCTGCAGCGACTCAGCTTCAGGTGGCATCAGTTAAACTGACGCCAGAGAAAAATCAGCTCTTCCTTTATTTATCAAAAGTTTACTTACGTAAGGGTTGCTGCTCTCTCACCAGCTATTAGCTGCTGACTTCCATAGCACCTCTGTAACTTAATGTCACTACACTATCTGCTTTGAACAATTTTAGAAGTGTTGAATACTTTTAATAAAACTTTTAATAAAACAACTAGGCAAATTAGGTGATAAAGTACGGACACAGCAGCTATGAGTAGCAATCAAGGACTGAAAAAAGCTCTCCTAGGGCTGAAAAAGGCACACGGGCCGCACTTTGGACACACTTATGAATCCTTGTGTTTCAGTCAATTTCACATTACATTTACATAAAACTCTGTGGTGGTTTGCAAGTGTAAATAACAGCAGCGGCTTGTTGGACTTCCTGTTTAGCCTGGTGCCCTTTCAACAGGAATATTGGAATTTCTTAGCTATGAAAAACATGGAACATAAAAAAAGAACAAAAACATTTAAGCTCCATTCAACAAAACAGCAGAACCAAAGTTTGACAATCCTGAAACTAGGTCAAAACCTTGGTAATAATTTCAAGATGTTAGCATGCTAATGTTAGCATTTAGCTTACAAAGTTAGAAGGTGAGTAGAACTCACAAAGCTGCTGAACTAAGGTTGCATTTGTGCATGACTGGTTATCCCATAATTGTGCAGAACTACACGCTGCATCCAAAAGAGTTTGACCTAGTTAGGCAGCAGCTTTAGCGCTGCCTGAACAGGACATGCATGCACAGATGCCTGCACACGTCAGTGACACTAACACGATCCTCAATGGACCATACGACTTCACTGACACATGATTCTAGTTTGGCTTCAAAGAGAATAATTTTTTAAGGTGATGATGCAAATGACTTTAGTTGAAACAGAATTTGTCCTTTTTGACCTTTAGCAGCAGGACTTTCAGCTGACTCATGGTTGCACAGATGAAAGTTAATAAGGATAATCCATACAATACAGTTAGCAGACGTCACTTCATATGTTCCCCAATTAAATCAATAAACACCATTTATGAGTCTGCAGCTGAGTGATTTCACACTCTTGTGCAGACATACCGTACTACCGCTACTACATACATGCAAGCTGAGGCAGCCTAATCCAGTTTTAAACACAGCATGACACCTGTTATAATCACTCTACTGTGTGCAACTAAATGCCAAGAAGGATTACAGCAGATGTCATGGATTATGTATGGAACTTTTATATGTGAACACGAGTACATCTGAGCAAATGCCACGAGCAGCCACTTAAATCTTGTTTGTGTGTCTGCATGCATGTATTGTCAGGTGCACCAACGAGGCTCTTCGCTTTGTTTTTCTTTCCCACTCTTAAAGCACGTCTGGCCAACTCTCAAAGTACTGAGGGGAGGAGGGTGGAACCACAGCTGCTGTCTGACGTAAATGCAGCACAAACGCTCTGTGTGTGCGGTCACAGCCCCTCTGACAGCTCTAACCAGCTAATGGGTTAGCTCACACTCCCTTCCTCTTCCTTTCCAACTCACTTCTGCAGGGATGCTTCAGCAGACTTTACAGTTAAACCTCAGCAGATGCTCAGAGGCCAGTGACGCTCAGAGTGGAAAACAGCTACTGTCATCTGTCTGGAACGGTGCCATTTAGTGCTTCTGGGTGCAATCACGTTTGATATGCATGTTCAGAATCAGTTCAGAAGGCAGTGTTCACTAATGACATTCAGCTACATGTTAAGAATGTTATTAAGAGTGCTAAAGTAGTTAGAAAGATTTTATTTTTGCTCTGCAGGATTCTTAATTTGCAAACCTAAATGTCACTTTTGTCAGGATTAGCAACACATCTACACTGATTTGTAATGCATGAACATGCTAATAGAAACATGCATGTTAAAGAGCAAGTTCAATGAGAAACCTTTATTTACTTGTTATTTTTAAAATGTGATTGGTCCCTCTGAGTTTCATGTACAGGAAGAATGTTAACATAATCTTTAACCCCTATTTCCTGCTGTGATCCGGGCATTAGCCGCTAAAAGAAAATAGACGGGGATATGCTTGGGCCAGAAAAAGACACACAGATCTATGTTACACTGTAAAATTGCATTCCTGTACTGACCCATCTTAGCTCACAACAAAGGAAGGGTGTTTTGACAAGTACTTCAAGACATGACCATGTCGCTCCTGTACTGATAAAACTCCATTGGCTTCCTGTAAACTTCAGAATGAAGTTTAAGATCTTAACCTTTGTTTTCAAAGCCATGAACGGCTGGCTCCAGCGTACCTAGTAGACATGGTTGATCGTTATGTGCCAAAACAGATTTTGAGGTCGGTTGACCGTCTGTTGCTTCGTGTTCTCTCTATGCAACATAAATCAAGGAAGGAGCGCATTCTTCCCCTCTCAGTAAGACGTGCACCGTCCCTCCCTTGCTTTAAGTAATTACTCAAAGCCTTTTTTTATCTGGCGTTTACCCATCCATGAATTTTTATTGTTGTTGTGTGTTTTATTACTGACTGTGTTTTATGCTTTTGTTAATTATGCTTATTTATTTTTTAGTTTTTTGCATTCAGTCTTGTGTTTTAATCTGTTTGGTCAGCTGCCATGCTGTTTTTAAATGTGCTTAGAAATAAATTTTATACGGTATGTTTTGATTTTTGCAGCCAGGAGAGAGCAGAGCATGCCTTGGCTAAAAGAGGCTAACTGCTAACATTAGCAAGTCCACAACATGGCAGAACTCCTTCAGGCTTGAGTTATTTGTGGAGATAAAATATCAACATTGCAGACACTGAGGCCTCAATATCCAACAGAATCCATGATGTTAACCTTAGAAATAAGTTACATTAAAGTAATATTTTGACCATTTGATGTAAATTTTTGTAATAATTACTGTTTTACTGCTTGTAGATACCATCCTGATTGGCCTCTGTTTGGTGAAATATCATTTAAGTCACTGAGAAATGAAATGTCCTGCAAATCATCTAGAAAACTTTGTAAGAGCAACTGGTGGACTTTATCTAAATGGACAAAAAGCTACATGTTTTATTGTATGCGCAACAGAGAACATACAACCACAAATGGCATTTTAGAGGATGGTAGCTCTCTGAATTTTCTTTTAACTGTAAAAACAAATTCAGTCCTCAGTTTGGTTTAGAGTCCGTTTCTTTTTGAGAAGTACATTCAACAGATTGGTCAGTGTTTGCTTAATAACCAGACCCATTTTTATGGTAAGTATAAAACACAGTTTAAGCAGCAAGCTGTGGTTTGCTCTGATAAATAGGTTTATTGCACAAAAGACAATGTTCGACACTCATTCAGACTGAGCGTCGGATTCAATTCAATGTTCCTAACGAGCCTAATTACTCGTCTTGTTGACGTACTTCACTCCACCCTGCTTCTCTAACTACTCTGAAACAAAACTTGTGCTGTCGCCCTGAGCTGAGGGTTGAAGCCACCCTATGATGCAGTCAAATGTAAATGCAAAACACACACTCGGTGACTAATTTCAGTGAACGCTCAACATACAGGAACTCATCACATTGTTTGAGACTTTGCACACTCTTTAACAGGAAACATGCAGAAAACGGTCTGTTATTTGGTTTCCTCGCCAAAAAGCCATGCCCCACACAGGGATCATGGTGGATTCAGGCTGAACAGAAATGAATCAGTCCTCTCCAACTATCACAGGTGTGTGTGTGTGTGTGTGTGTGTGTGTGTGTGTGTGTGTGTGTGTGTGTGTGTGTGTGTGTGTGTGTGTGTGTGTGTGTGTGTGTGTGTGTGTGTGTGTGTGTGTGTGTGTGTGCACTAGGTCAACATGTGCAGAGCAGCTATGAGGAAATTGACGTCCATGCACAGAAATTCAACGTCTGGTGCCGAATCAACTGATGTTGATCTAAGGCTCTGTTTATTTTGGGGGTGGGGGGGTGGGTGGGGGGGGGTGTTAAACATGCTCCTGAAGAATTGACGCAGTCTGCTGACATCATCACCTGTTCCTCCTTTTGACCAAGCACTGAGCTCAACGGTCACTCCCGTAGAGGAGGGAGAGGGTGTGACAGTGAGTCTAGTGTTGTGATTTGGGGGAGGGGGGGTTCAATTTAGATGAAGATCAAGAAGCAGGTAACACATGAGGAAGGACATTTGCACAAATTAAAAGAAAGAAATTGGCATTCAGCCACCCACCTGACCCCAGCATTCAGGATATTTATGTTTCCGCTCAGCCAGGTTCCACCACCTTCTTCTCCTTCAAATCTGCAGAGCATCATTAACGCGGCAGGACTGCCACCACATGTGCACGACACTAATTATACACAGAGAGTATCACACTGGGATAATGATATTTTGACTCACACTGTGGGAGGAATGAATTAGAAGAAAGAGAGGGAAACTTTTTTCAGAGAGGTGAACATGCTGAACTTTATTCTCTTGACGTCACGTTGCTCAGGGTGGTGCTGGCTCGAGAAGCACACAGAAAATACAAATAAAATAATAATTTTGTAGTTGCTTAAGACAAAATTATGCAAAATTGGAGTTGGGCCAGTCTTTGGTATCAAAAGTAGCAAAAAGGAGCTATTCCAGTCTTGTTAGTGGGGTTCTGTGGAAGGTTTATGGAAAAATAATATATTTTGCAGATGGCTATATGAACAACCTTAGTTTGGAGAAATAAATATGTAATTGCATCTCATGTTGCAGTTTTTTTTTTATATACTTTCAAACCAACATTAGATACAAGATAAGCCGTTCCAGCTGGGTGTCACCTGCAGGTGGATCACAGACTTCCTGACCAACAGGAAGCAGCAGGTGAAGCTGGGGAGCTTTGTTTCAGATCCCCCAACCATCAGCAAGGCTGTGTTCTGTCTCCTCTAGTTTTCTTCCTTTCCATTAATAATTGCATCATCAGTTATCAGTCTGTGAGGCTCCTAAAGTACTCAGATGACACCACACTTGTCAGCCCCATCTCTGGTGATCACGAATCCTTGTAAAGAAGGGACATTGACCACCTACCAGGACAATTGTGAGCTCGGTGCTCTAAAGACAGTGGAGATAGTAGTGGACTTCAAGAGGAACCAAGACACTCTCAATTCAATTCACTTCAATTCAATAATACTTTATTAATCCCTGCTCCACTGTAGAAATTGTGGAGGCTTTTTTCTTTCTGGGAAGCACCCTCACTCACAACCTGGGAGCTGGACATCTGTTTCCTCATATTCAAAGTCCAGTAGAAGATGCACTGCCTGCAGCAGCTGAAGAAGTTCAACATGCAGGAACAGATCATTATGAGTTTCTATTGAGTCCATCATCATAAACTCCTATCACCACATGGCACCGTGCCTCCGCTGTTAAGGACAGAAGCGGACTGCAGTGTACGATCTGCTCGGCTGAGAAGGTGATTGGCTGTAATCCGCCCTCACTCAAACACCTTTACACCTTGAGGACCAGGACACTAAGATTATGGCTCTCATCCCAGACACAATCTGCACAAGGCGCTCTCCTCTGGAAGGTGGCTGAGGTCCATCAGGACCAGAACCTCGAGACACAAAGACAGTGTTTTTACTCTCCTGATGGACCACTTTGTTCTTCTCAATGTCCTGGAGGCTGACGTGTGAACTGGCTAATCTAGTGATGAATGTTTCACCGTTTTGCTTCTTTAGTAAATGCACATGTTTATACATAAACATTTCACATTGTTTTTATTTAGATTGCTGCTGTTTTGTTTTGTTTGTCCCAACCCCATTTTATTTTTGTATATTTTTCAGTCCTGAATGTTTGCACCAAAATGCCAAAACAAATTCCTGGTGATTACATACTTTTGTGCATCTTTAAAGTTGTTCAATGCAGTCAATTTAGTTGTCAATCAGAATTGATCTTCATTTCTCTAAACGGAGGATTTTCACCAGATAAGATTCTGATGGGTGGAAATGTTTCTACAGTAAATCACTTCAACATATCAAGAGCCATCACTTTCAGGCGTGACAACAGGCTTCAGCTGAATGAGACGACTGAAAAGAAGTAGAAGAAGAAAATAAACTGAGGAAGAAAGGAGGCTTGTGGGCAGCTAAAAGGCAATAAAAACCATGGGGGTGGGGGGGGCTTTATGCTGTAGTTTATCTTAGGTTAATCATTAAAGTGGGTGGTCGGGTGTTGGGTGAAGGGAGCAGGTCAAGTTGGACAGAGAACAGAGGAGGAACTGTGTCAAATTATCGTCTGGTTGCTTTTATCTCACTGCAGCCTTAGCAACCAAATGAAACAGAGCAAAACATCCAAACAGAGACCGGCTCTGAAGCCTTTGTGAATCCGTTATTTACGTCAGCAAATGATCACACAAAGTAACGGTGCCTGCTAGGACAAATAAAAAGGCAAATGTTGAGTTTTATGTTGTATTTGTCAGCATCCTTATGCATTTAAGCCGCAGCGAAACTAAAAGCTTTTCTCTGCTGACGGAAACTTGCTTTGTGTCAGAACACGGACGGTAGGCTGTTGTAATTGATCATTTTTAAAGTACGTCCACATCAGTGTTGGAAATGAACACATGTTTTTAGACTCATTTCAATGACGTGGCCTGATGAGGGCGGAAACACAATGTTGGAATTGTTGTAGATTTGGTGCTGAGGCATGGATGTAGTATTTCGGGGGGGGGGGGGGGGGGGGTCCCCCCTCTTTTTCCAAAGTCAGTTTTTGTCCCCTGCACTTTTTACCATCCACAAACAATATTCTGATATATATATATATATATATATATATACATACATATATATATATATATATATATATATATACATATATATATATATATATACCGTAAATCCTCTAATACAGGCCCGGGCCTGTATTTGACTCAAGCTCATCAAGCTCCAGGCCTTTATTGGAAGGAGGGCCAGTATTAGAGGCAGGCCTCTATTTCTATTTGAGCAAAATGAACTAATGGTTCGCTGGAGTTTTTGACAATTAAGATTGCGCCCACATTTTCAAAGTTAAACACATTTCTTTTAACAACAGTAGTTTCTGCTTCAACCCTCTCCCCCCTCCCCCTGCGCAGCAGCCGCAAACTCACTGATGCGCCTGCAGCCTCTCGGAGTTCCTGCTGCTCTAAACATTAAAATAATTATTTCATTTTCTGTTCCTCACTTCTGATTACCTTCAATGGTGTCTGTTTGTTGCAACCACCAGGTACAAAAACTAACTTGTTTTTATTTGACTATTTTTCTGTCCTGTCTGTTTATTATCTTCCTGCATCTCCTCTCAATCCTAAAGAAAAACTGTTACCTGGGTTCATATATATTCACCTCATGAGTTACCTTTGAACTGCAGTTCTAAAAGATCTACCGACCGCAAAAACAGCGGAGCGCTTGCTGTTTGGCGGCCGTATCAGTGATCAGTGCGTCGGAGAACAAGGTGATGCCCGCAGCGCCCCGCTCCACAGCATGCAGCGAAACGCATCAGGCGCAAATAAAAGACAGAAAACATTAGAGGAAATGAACCGACATGAACGATCGCGTGTCAGTACCTACGGGAGCGTGGTTTCACAGACGCGGAAGTGATAGCGTCGGTGAAACGCCGGCTGCTCTAGGAAACCCCCGAGCGTTCGAGCATCAACGAAGTGACACGGAAATGCCGGGCTTTCCAGAAGTAAGTAAGATAACTTACTATGAGCTGATAGTTCGTTGGATTGAGTGGTAGGTTGGAAACTCTGATCGTGAATCTGAAGAAACGATGACTGAGCTGTAAAGGCGACTTCCGTTTATAGCCGCGGTTTGTGACGTAGGTGCGACGTGGAGGGAATCCCCGCGAGGGGCATGCTGGGAGTCCCTACTTCGCGGATTTTCACCTATCGCGGCCAGGTCTGGAACGCATCTACCGCGATAAACGAGGGATTACTGTAGTTCATACACCCCCTACTGCTGCTCTCCAGAGTGTTCTGCAGCATAATCAGCACGTTCTCTTTGAACTTGATAGTGTAATGACCTGGCTGGGGTTGTAAGCCAGGTGCATTCTGGGTATTGTGTTATATGTGTTTCCTATCGTTCTGCTAGTTCCTATGTGCTGATTTGCGTGTTGTGTGAGTGTTATGTAAGCCACAGGGAGGGTGATGTGTGTTCTGTGGAGTGGGTTGAATTAGCATGGTTAACTGACACCGTGACTCTGTGTGGTAGGAGCGTGATAGAGGATCGTGTCTGAAGCGTTACAAAGCTAGAAGAAAAAGCCTAATAAAGGTCTGCGCGAACCCCTACTGCCTCCTGCTGGTTGATTTGGAGACTATAACCCTGCCGCTGGGAGTCTCGTACTTGCTTGTTACCACATTCCATCCGGCCACAATAAGAGACCGGCCATTATTTACCTCCGCTGACTCCGACACCGGCCAAAATTGGAGACCCGGCCTTTAATTGAATACCGGCCTGTATTAGAGGATTTACGGTGTATATATATATATATATATATATATATGATTGGGCGTTCCTGCCATCACTCCACATTGTAAACAGGATGTGCTCACCTTTTTTCTATTTTGCCAGCTGCCAGGGGCATATTCCAGAAAGCGAGTTCAGAACATCAGGGGATCCCCTGACAAATCCCTTCTTGACAAAGCGCTCCCCTCCCATCCCAATTTTACCGGCTCCATGAACGATTCTCAGGTGGATTCAATCCCCTATCGGGAATCAAGACTCACACGCGTCCATAGGCAGCCCCTGTTAATCGATGCTAGATAGATGAGAATGGATGGAAAGGACAGAGCCTCGTTCTTCAGCCAGACCGAGCAATAATTATCCATTCATGCCTACGAGGACTACAAAGATGTCAGAACTTAAACAGAGACAATGAGCTGTTTGAAATAAGCTGTGTATTTAGTTAGAATGTGCACATGCATTTAGCACATATATCACACTGAGGACAAAACATCACAAATGTCATTTAAATCAATGATTACCGTGTTTGACACATATGACCAGAGTAAATATTTGGTTACATCAATAAAATATTTCCTTTTACATATCTAACAATGGAAAAAACAAAGTTGAATTTTAAGTATTAGTTTTATTTTTGTACTGCCACCTATGTACTTGACAGTTCTGCATTCCTGACATTACATAAGAGCCTCTAGGCTGTAGTCTTTTATATTTGTAAAAATTACTGTAACACATGGCAATTATCACCTGGGTTTCATTTATTTTGGGCCGAATAGCCACAGTTCATAGTGCACAGTCTCAAAATGAAAAAGTACATTTTTCCTCTTTTCTGTTGACAAAAAAGACCTTCTCCATAGTCCAACAGGAACTGCCTCAGCAGAAACTCTGAGAGCCTCTAAAAGCTCCTGCTACTCTGAACCATCAGCGCATTTCAGAACCCATGCAGCCGTCACACATGTGCAAGTGTTTTAGAACATTGTGTTCTTCAAAATTTGTTCTCAGCATGATCATTTTTGACCCCCCAAAATCAAAGACATCTCACAGAGTTCAGAAGAAGAAAAACAGCTTGTGAGAAGGGAGCGATCCCACATTCCTCTGACTCCGCAGGAAATTACTAGATTTGTTGTTCTGGCACATAGGAATCACCGGCTTAGAGGGAAACAATGTGCCTCACACTCACTGTGATTCAGTGTGTGTGTGTGTGTGTGTGTGTGTGTGTGTGTGTGTGTGTGTGTGTGTGTGTGTGTGTGTGTGTGTGTGTGTGTGTGTGTGTGTGTGTGTGTGTGTGTGTGTGATGTTGGGAGGCAGTTTTCTGACCCACGACATGCAGAATCAATACACAGAAAGCAGGTTAAGTGCAAAAAATTAAAGGATTTATTATCGATAAAGAACTAAAGGAGTAGAGACAGGAACTGAAGACGCTGCGTGACCAGTAGCAGGATTCCAAGGTGGGGTTCTGAGGAAGGAGACAGTGAGTTTCTAGAAGGATGATGGAGATGCTGGCTAAGAGGGGGCTTTCCGTTTTCCAGAAGCAGACTTGGCCAGGTCCGGGAGAGCTGAAGGGGTCCAGAGAGCGAAGCACAGTTTGTCCAACGGAGATGTTGGTGAGGATGCTGATGAAGACAGGTGAGCGGCTGAGAGCGGACGGCCAGGGGAACAGCAGTGTGAGCTGGAGTGCAGGAATCCGGGGTGGTTATGTTGAAGAGGGGAGATGGAGTGGGAAACCTGGAGAACGGGGGAGATTAGTCAGAGGCTTTCGGGTGACAGGTTTTCTCAAATATACAAACTTGATGCAGGTCAAGTGGCTAGAGCTGCCCAAAACAGAGTAATCATCCAGTGAGGTGTTGGGTCACACTGCTCCTCAAATCCCCTGGGCCTTGTCGACAAGATCAGCTGCAGCTGTTTGCTCTCAGACACACCCACCTGCAAACAGGACTCAAAGAAAAGCAAACTGACAGGCAGCTCATCTCGGACCATGACAGTGTGTGTGTGAAGCAATTACAAAACTGATCTCTTGCTAAAATAAGGAAGAAGATGAGGACAAAAGGTTTGGGTTGAGTCCAAGACTTTACGTTTCTATTTAGCTGCTTCAGTTACTTGGAACAGTTAGCTGAGTGAATATTCTTATTTTAATCAAACAACAATAAATAATAATGTTTCCTGGCAATGAAATGACCAACAGTCTGTAATTTAATTATTGGGGAACACAGTGTCACTTTCAGATGATCGTCTAGTGAAAACGATTGTAAATCGTATTTATAAAGGGAGTTCTCTAAATGTCTCTAAACAATTGCGAGGTCTTGAGTAATTGTTTTGTAATTATTCTGGGGAAAACCCTGGTTCTATGGGAGAAGTTAGCAGGAAAGTGAGGGATCTGCTCTTTTGTCAGAGAGAAATCCTCACTCAGTGTGCCATTTAAAGTCTACATCTAGATTTAACTGAATGCTCTGGGGTCTTCACACTAAAAGAGTTTAACAGACTTCCCCAACTCACACCTGCAAAACGTGAACTCTGGTTTTAGGAGAGGAAGTCAGAACGTATGAGCTGATACGAGGACGGTCAATGTACATAGCTGATTGGTAACGTTATCCTCTAACATTTACCAGACATCCTGCTCTCAATGTTTGCTTAGGAAAACCCAGAGTTTATCAGCTCCTCTTATGATTTACAGCCTGAAGGTTTCTGAACTCCAGCTGCATGGTCCTCCTGAAGCCCAGGACAGTATAGCTTAGGTTTTTCATCATATTCTCTCCTTGGGGCTGGGGGGCCTCTTCAGCTTTAACACAGCCAAATGTCCAACATGTTGACTGAAAAAAAAAATTTAAGTAAAAATTATCCTCACAGAGAAGTTGACCTAAACTTAGTTGATCTGGTGTCTAAAGCAGCAAGCTGATTACCATTTCACCTCTTCTCCTTTTCCGTTGATCCTTTAACATAAACCGAAATCACAAAAGAGCTCCACCAATCAAGAGCGGTAAAAATTAAAAGTCTCACTTAATATCATGAACAGACAGAAAATGTAAATATTAAATTCCTCTGTGATGGTAAGGAGAAATTGGTATCCTTCATTCAGTTTCTGCTGTCCAACGTCCATTTCAGAGAGAAAGACTGTGTTTGTGTATAAGTGGCACTACAAACCATAATTCAAATGGTTGGGAAAAGCGACGTAATTAGTCCTATAGGAATTACACTTAGAGAGGACATAAACTGTGGTCTCTAGTATAGTATATAAATGCCTTGTGAGGCATTCTCTGTGAAATAAAAGCTCTGCTGCTCCTATTTCAGGAAGTAGTAGTTAGCCGGTGTAAAGGTGGGCAGAAAAACTCACACATATTCAATATATTGGAAACATTTGCCTCCAATTGCACAACTCTACTAGCCTGGCAAGCCAGACTAAATAAATAAATGTATTATTTAGTCTGGCCATGCCCCATTGACGGCTCTCGGTTGTGGGGCGGGTTCTACCGTTGTCTTTCAAATGATCTCCGCATTCCACTGGACAATGAATGTGACATACTCTTGTTTCACTCTGTTGCATCATCCCACCCACCAGGCATATAGAGTGCCCTGATTGGCCCACAAAGCGGATAAAGCTCTGTGATTTGTTCACTAAGCAGATAGAGCACTATGATTGGCCCACCATTATGGACCAATCACAGCTCTTTATGTGTTTGAAACCCCTCTAGAGAGCTGTGATTGGCCAGCCAGAGTCCTGGTAGGAGCTGCTGATGTTCCAATGGAGCATGCCTAGACCATTCTTTGCAAAGCAAGAATTTGGTCTAGTTCACTAGGCTACAACTCTACCACTGCCTCTGTTCACGCTGTAATGTTTTATCCCCACAAATAACTCAAGCCTGAAGGAGTGCTAATGCTAATGGTTAGCTTCTACTAGCTGAGACATGCTCTGCTGTGTCCTAGCCAAGAGGATTTACAGTGTGACGTAGACCTGTGTGGCTTTTTCTGACCTGCAGAGTTTCCTCATCTCTTTTCTTTCTGTGGCTAATGCCTGGAAAGGGAGGTAGAAGACTATTTTCAGACAAATTACACGAGGAGATCAGTAAACCGTGTAAGGTAACCTGTATGCTCCACAGAAACACAACTCAGCTGAAAGATGGTGGTGGTGGTGGTCATTTAGCTCAGTTTTATGGCTTTTTGTTAGACTCTGAACCAGGAAATGGGCGCAGGCAGTGAAACACAAGGCAAAAAACTCCGGAGCAACCAGTGACTCCACCCCCAAGTCAGTCAGCGACCTGAATCATGATGACGGCCCAACTCGGCCTTACCAGGTACCTCAACGGAGCAGGGACTAAAAATAGGGGAGAAAGTAGAGGGAAAATACCGAACCGGGCCCTTGGGAACAGTGGTTGGACCGAGCTGCTTCGGTCCGAGTTGCTCTGAGTATAGCTCCTGGAAAAGCACCTTAACAGCCCATATCAAGGGGCCTGGTACCCCATACTCCCGAAGTACCCCCCAAAGCCCCCCCCCCCCCCGGTCGGACGCTTTCTCCAAATCCAAAAATCACATGTAGATTGGTTGGGCGAACTCCCACGCCCCCTCCAGGCACCACTAAGGGTAGATCTGGTCCAGAGTTCGACCAAAACCTGGAAAATTTTTCATAACATTCAAAAAAATACATTTTATATTTATTCATAGTTACAGTGTTTTCTTGTTTGCTGAACAAAATAATTCAATAGTAAAATGTTTTGCTACTGAACTTCTATTATGCATCATTTGGATCATAATTTCATTTTTAACCTACATAATTCCTGATGACTGAGTCTAGTGTTTCTTCATTGTTTAATGCAAAAGAAGACCTCCGACCCTCTGGTCTTTTCATCTGGAACCTTCTGCTCTCACATGGCAGCAGCAGGCAAACACACAGATGTCCTCACCGTCATTTTATGACGCCTTCCTTCACCCAGCTTAGGCCTTTTAATCCTTGTTTAGCTGTTCTTTTCTCTGACGGGCTTTGCTCAAACACCACACTAAATATTTAAAACCACATCAGGGTGTTTGTTTTAGTTTTTCTAACTAAGCTTTTACCCCATCTGCTATGAGTCAGGCGCAAGAAAGTAAACAAAGAATATCATGTGGTTTATAATTTTCTACATCTGAACACTTAAGGTTGTGCACACGAGCAGAAATAATCCTCAGGTTTCGGTGACTGGAGATGCTTTCCTGAACTTTTTTGTGTTTAGTGAACTTTTTAGAACAAATAATTCACATTTGCACATTTAGTTCTCCCTTTCTCTACTGCCTCTGGCGAGTTAAGGACTGGTATCCGGCTTTAAGGGTTCAGCTGAGAGGCCATATGGACATTGAGTGAAAAGATTAGGACCATAAGATGCACAGGCACCTGCAGGGATAAAACATGCAACTTTCTATCCATCTGGACCGCTGCAGAGGCACCCCT